TTAGTGTCCTCTTTCTTGAATATTATATTTGAAAAACTTGGCTGATGGCTCAAAAAGATTAAAGGAAGACTTTTTAACCAGCATTGAATATAAGGTCCAGGCTGCTCACGTAAGTGGTATAAAATTAACATAAGAATTAACATCAGATCCCAATAAAAGGGAAACAATGAGACGATCCTCGAGAGAGGATTGGTTTTGCAGTTGGAAGCTGCTGACATTTATATCCTGCACGGCTTCTTGGTAGTTTTGCACCTGAATATGGTTAGAGCCACTACTGCTAGCATGAGGTGATTCCTGGATGCTGCACAGGTTGCACAGGCATTTCAGCTCCACCAGGAAAGTTTGCTTTGTCTCCCAGCACAGCCTTGCAAGCATGAACACTCCATGATACAAGCGGTTACTCTTGGAGACCTGGACGGGGCTGTTGGAGGTCCCTGACCCATTAGTAAGACCAGTGCCTGCTCCTTTATGCAAGGAGGAAGGATGAGTACTTAACATTTGCTAAACTTTGCAATAAAAATGCAAACTTAGTCACACCCATTGATTAATCTTGGCTAACTACAGCTAGTGTTACTTACAAAGATTGATTAACACACAATAGAGAAAATGATTAGAAAATTTTTAAAAGTCAAAATAAAAACTGAGTTGGAAATTGTTTTATTTTTTTTAAATTACATTTAAAATGTTTTATTTGCTAAAAATAATGTGTATTGCTTTCTGGAAAAAATTGATTTTAATTGGGAAAAACAAGTAAATATATATCTATATCTATATGAAAAGTTAATTTGCAAAAACATAAAAATGAGCTGAGATGTGTTATTTACTCTGCATGGCGCTGCTAATAAAAATAATTTTTTTTTTTGAAAATATATAAAAATTTAGTTATCTATTTTTGCAAATGAACTCTTCATATATACACATATATTGTTAGGAAAATAATATATAATAATATACATAAAATAACCCCCCTCATATTTTGCAAGTTCTCCTACTTCTGTGAGAGACATAATCTGAAACCCAGAAATCACAATGTTTGATTTTTTAACCATTTATTTGTATGATGCAGCTGCAAATAAGTATTTGAACACCATAGAAAACCAATGTTAATATTTGGCACAGTAGCCTTTGTTTGCAATTACAGAAGTTAAAGGTTTCCTGTATTTTTCCACCAGCTTTGCAAACACTGCAGGAGGGATCTTGGCCCATTCCTCCACACAGCTTTTCCTCACTGTATACATATATATATGTGTGTGTATTTGTCATCCAATGCAAATAAATGTCAATAAATGAAGGTTATTTGGATGCCATAGCTTTAACATGAGTGTTTAATAGAACAAACATGACTCACCATGGTTGTTTCTGTGATGGATCCAAAGCTGTTAATGAAGATGTTGCAGGTAACGTTGACAGGAGGACCTGACGGGAGCAAACTGTCACCAAACATTGCCTTAAAACACCTTCCCTATATACAAAATATTGTTTTCTAAGCAGAATACACACATTACTGCACCCAACAACAAGCAAGGCTTGTCTCTAAATAAAAAAACTGCTTGTCAGGCCATGTTATAAGCCACTAAACTACAGCTACATATCACATTATGTTGTCATTCCTGGTACACTCCCATTAGTGTAACCCCTCTGCTGGTCTCTGAAGGTTTAAATATTTCATCCATTCTTTCTCTAGAAGCAATAACTTATTGATTTAGCTTTACTTACATTAGGGTATTTATAGATAATTGGTGGCATGTAGTGACAATGATTTGGAGCAAGAATGAAATAAAGATGAAACTCAACCCCGGGGGCTAAAGGCAGAAGCTTGTCAGAGAGAATCTGCTGGCTTCACTCACTGTGCTGCTCACGACTGGACTGAATTAGGCCTGTGGGATAACTTGCAAGGATGACTGCACACTTCTGTCAGAATAAAACGTGATGGAGAAGAAAAGAAAATCCTAACTCAAGGCTGTGGGTCAGCAGGGAGAACAGTAGGTCAAAGCCCATGATTAAGGGGGGAAAGAATGTGTGTGAAATTATTCTCGCCTGTAGAAATCTCTCCCTCCTTGTTCATCTGTGCATGATTTGAACAATTTTGCTGCTCAGATTGTTTTATAAATCGGCTGTTCAAAAAACACCCCCTACCTTTGAAATTGGGTCTGATGCGAGCATCGTAGCCAGATGTTCGTCCCATCAACTTGTCCAGAAAGTCGGATGGAGACGGAGGGTTCTGCACCCTGCTGGGGAACTTCATCTCCTTACAGATCACAAATCTGGCAGGTGATAGGACAACCTGAGGAACATTTCATCTTTTCTACCTCTTAAAACATCTCAATCCTTAGCTAAACTTTAAACAACAATTTTTTTTATGTATCTTATCAAGAGTAATGATTTAATTTTAACACAACTTATAGGATAAAGCATCATACGTATTAAGCTGTACTCAGGATTACTTATGAAAAAATTATATTTTTTAAAAGTTTATCAGTTCCTCTCGAGTATCTTGGTATTTTAAATAGTTTTCAACATGGGAATGCGTTTATCCCAATTGGGGGATTGCACTGGAAAAAAAATCGAAATCTAAATAAGTAATTTTTTTCTTAAAATAGGTGCATTTGTGCTTGAATTGAGGAGGTAAAACAGACATTTTGCCAATGGAACAAGACAATTTACACTTAAAATAAGAAAACACAACTGCATTGTCTTATTTCAAGTGCATATTATCTAATTATCTTATATTAAGAGTAAAAATACTCATTCCATCACATTTACCTACTCAAATTAAGGGTAAATACACTATACTATACTCTATATCGTTTTTCCAGTGATAAAATATTGAACTCCAGCTTCTTCAGTATAAAGAGATGTTGCCGAGCCTCTCATTCATGGAAGCGCTCTGCATCATCTAGTCAAATGACATTAAATAGAGCAGGAACACAGTCCAGTAAATGCATTAACCTCAACAGAACTCTGAACGATTCCCATCATCAAAGCTCTTCCTACCTGCTTTGTAGAAAAATGACACAGTAACCCCAGACAATGCAGAAGTTGCTAAGAACCATTCCTGAAAGTTGAAGAAAGAAAAAAGAAACAAAACTAGAGGATGAAAAACAGCAAAGATGCAAGAAACTTCTCCTTCTTCTTGCAGCTCTCCTGTTCTGGCCAACAGATGAGCTTCCCTCCCTCTGAGCAGGTGTAAAGCACAGGAAGCTGCTGCTGCTGCTGCTGTATAATTTAAAATCCAAGGGAAGATTTTTTTTTTCTTTCTTCCTCAGTCTGTTTGTGTGGATGACTTCAAGCTTGATCTCTTTTTCATGTCCATGTGATTGCTCAAAGAATAACTGCAAGAGTATTTAAAGGAACAGCACGCTTCTCTGAGCCGGGTGGCCACACATAGAACCGTTTGAGTTTGGGAATATTTCAGATTCTGACAGCAGGTCTGAGAGTCAAATAAATACATTCATAAAATAAAAGTTTTGGTAATTGAAAAATATAATTTCTCAACTGGTTAAATCATTAAAATACTAAAGTAACAACCCATTTATCTGCACAGAAAATTAGAATAAAAAAAAACATTCAAGTTTCGTTTTATTTAACTATTGATTCATCAACTAAAAATATTAAAAATCAGAAGAAAATAAACTGTTTTTGCTTTAGTTATTAAACGTTAGAAACCTTCATATCCATTAATTACATTTAAAACTACAGCAAAGAATGTTGTGATGGAGACATGCTATTTTTTTTTAAGAATCTTGTATTTGTTTTTTACATTTTATACTTTTTAACATAACTTGGCATTTATTTTTTTTATCAATAATGGCTGCTACATCACCCAAATGTCTATCATAAAAGATCAATGGGATTCCCTGCTTAAATAAAGGTTAAAAAAATCAAATAAGTAAATAAAACAATTAATTTAACAGGGCGACCACTAATATATTAAAAAAAAATACTTGTCAGTAAATACAGGATTCATTGACGTTTTATATTTTTCTTTTTATCTTGTGACTATTAAAATATGATCACTTTAAGAACTGTAATAGATTAATATTTATTTGGCTGCTCAAATGAAGAGTGGCAATAAAATAGTCACTTTAGTAAATAAAAACAAAAAGATTGGCAGCAGAAACAATACTTAAACCTTTAGGCTAAATTAATGTTCCATGATTTAAGATTTGATGCACTGATGATGAGAATCGTTGCTCCAATTACCTCCAATGCAGCTCAAGCATAAACTCATTTCTAAAAGGTCTGTCGTCAGTCTCTGGTCTGTTTTTATCTCATTTTTGTTATGAAGGAAAATGTAAAGCCAGATGCTGAAGCTCATGTTTACTCCCCGCACGCACAGGAGGCGGCAGCTCCAACCACTTACTCGTGTAAAATTAATGTCAGACAACGCGATGGGATGTAACGGCTGCACGTGTTCGCCTCGCACTTGAAAGCCCCTTCTGCACTTTGCTTTGGAGCCCAGTGTCAAATGAAATCAAGGATGTGTAATAAAATAAAGCACAAGAGCCTTCGTAATAACAAGGAGCCCAAAATGGAAAAAAAGAAAAAAATTCTGCATGCTTGCTCATTTTTTACTCTCAGAATAAAAAAAAAAATAGGCCAAGCTTCAATCTGGTCATTTTGTAGGAGTCGGACGCTAGATTTACCAAATATAAACTTTGTCACTTTTTAAACATCACCAGCTGTTCTATTTCACACAATAAAAAGTGTTTTTAAATGAGCTGAGACATTAATTGCTCCCTCCATCTCTTTAGGAAGCAAAATGCCACGCAACATGGACTGATTCAAATTCCTGAGGACAGATGGAGTTGAAGCCCACTGACTGCAACAACCACCTAAAACGATCACAGCTCTGGATGGAGGTCACTGCAGCTGCTCATCACTGCCATTATCTGGAGGCAAAGCTGAAAATAATCATCAAGTCCAATTTAAAAATAGCCTTTATTGTCGCTTTTCTTACATCAAGCTGCTCCAATCACACAGAGGGAGAGCAGTTCAGCTTTTTGTTTTTGTTTTTTTGGGGTGGGGGAAATCACACAAATGACGGTGAAAGGAAAAAATGATGAGGACTTCTTATGTGGGGGGTAAACCCAAACACAAGCAAAATAAAACAGCAGATACAAACTCCAAATATGAAAATATCAACAGTTTAATATACATTGATCCTCTCATTTGGTAGACATGTTTCGTTTTAACGAAGGTGGCGATCACTGCCAGAGTTCGCTCTTTCTATGAAGTTAAACTCTCTCCCCTGAGTGTCAGCCTCCAGCAGCTTAGTCCTCGTGGATGTTGAACAGCTTTGCCACCTCGTTCAGATCTGCATGCTCCTCTCCGTCCTTAATGATCTAAACGTTAACACCAGAAAAAGCTTTCAGTAAACAGATCTCTTCAATCCTTCCAGTAACATGCAGGAGAAAAGCACAGGGTAGTACCTTTCTGGCAATGGGCATCCTGTTAAACACGTTCCACAGGATGATCCCCACCACCACTTTGTCTCTCAGGTAGAAGATGACTCCTTTTCCGTATTCGTCCTTGTGCTGGACGGCAGGAGACGGCGTGGAAGAGGCCACTGCGCTGGAAGCAGTGTCCTCCGTCTCGCTCTCTGAGCGGATCCCCGTACCTGGAACACCATCAATATGAACCTTTGCTCACTTCATAACTTTCACTCTCATGCTACATTTACACCTGGAGCAGCAAAAACGCGTGTGCTGCTTCATTTTTTATGCTTGTACAAATTTAGTTGTGACGCGCGGCTGAAGCATCTTTGCTGCTCTAGCTGCGTGGTGAAAAAGTGGGTCTGATGCACGTTGGGCTGAGCTACTCTATCCTTTCTTTGCCTGTAACAATGGCAGCTATATTTGCTGTGATCAGTGGGTAAAAAGTAGCTTTAATATGTTTTAAAGTGAGAAAGTCCACCTGAAAACTTCATCTGTTCAGTCAGTTCATCAAGGTTACGATCCTGCCTTCAAATATTATTTTGCTGTTGGGTTCGCTCAGAGTCCCTGTATACTGGGGTTGAACTGTCTCTAGGAATCCTGTTCTACAGCAGCCTCTGGCCCAGTGGCCTCTCAGGGTTTTCCGCTACTGTTTGCAGCAGCTGGAAGTAGATGTTTACATTTTTCCTGTACGTAATCCAAACTTCAGGCACAAGATTAATAAAATTGAACATATTTTACTTGCAGGTTTCAACATTTTAAGTTAATTTAGGTAGGTGTTGATGAACTTTCTGTGGAGTGATCATAGTGATTTGTATTTTCCCAACTTCAGCAGCTGCTGCTTCTGAAGCGCGTTGCACGCGTCAGATGCTCAGAAGCTTATGACGCGCTGCTTCAGCTGCCACGACGCGCTGCTCCTGCTACTCAAAACGCGGTGCAGGACCTTTTGCTGCACCTTGATGTGTGTCAACCATTGACTTTGGATGTAAACTAGCTGCTTCTGCTGCCTGTGCTGCTTGTGGTGTGAACGTAGCATCAGCATTTATTTTTTCCACTGTATTATTATTTCCGCTCTAACAACACAGTCCTTGCCTTGCACCATACATGCCGCAGATCAGCACAAAGTGCAGCATGGTTCCCAAATGGAAGGAAAATGATCAATGTCTTTTTTTTTTTACATCAACACTTTGCATGTAGAAATTTATCAGAGCTTTTTCTCATGCTTTTTACCAACTTGTTTAGTAATAATACTGTCTTCTGTCTCTCAGTGCCTGCATCATTTATGTCCCAGTAAAAGAAAATATCTCTTGATTTACTTTTATTTTACTCAACCTTCTCTCAATAATCCCGTAATGCCCCTAATATAGCATCGACTTTCAAACGATCCCATTAATACTTTTTCAGGACTGATTATGAGTTTTCAGCCCTACTAATATGGGATTGTACAGATTTCTGAGCAGGGCTGAAAAAATCAAGGACGGGGACCGAAATGTAAATTTTCACAAAAAAGAAAAATAATTGCCCTAGAATTTGGCATATTTCAGTGCAATAACCAAACCAAGAGCGCTCGTACCCGACTCCTCAGTAGCAGCTTTGGGCGTGTCCTTAGCAGTGGCCTTGGCAAACACTCCTACTGTCGGCAGGCTGCTGTCAACGATCCCAATAGCCTCATAGCCGACATCGGGTCCCAGATCACTCCTGTGAAAACAACAGATCTCAGAACAGCCGCTTCAGAACCAAACTATTATGCTGCAGTAAATAAACCATAAGTAGAACAAACTACAACTAAAAATTAAGACTGAACGATTTTGGTAAAACTAAAAAAATTAAAAACTATTTTGCTTTGATTTGTCTTTGCACTAACCACTAGCATGTAAATGTTTCACTTCAGGGTTTCATAGTTTTCATGACCTTGAGTTTATTAAAGTTTATTTATCCAGAGGCCAATTTTATCAGGACTTTACTGTTACTGACTGTATTAAATTACTTACTTATAGTCTATGTTAAGCGAATTACTGCCACCTAGAGCTGGACTCATCAGCTTCTTACTTTTAATTGGAATATGACAAAAACTGAGTGGATTTGAATATTTCGTTTAGTTAAAATTGCAAATATATTGCAAATGCAATTAACTGAAAAGCCCTTCTAAAAAGTTAAAACACACAAACAAAAAAGAAAAATGATACGACTGCTTCTACATAATGAACCCACCAGAACATAGACTGATGCCAGTAAGGTTTGCTGGCTCCCGTCATGTTCTCTCCAGCGAGCCTCCCACTGACCACGGCATGGTCATGGTGCTCGACCCGCCGGCGGCCCAGCCTGATGTCATAGAAACAGGCTGCATCTCCAGCCTAATATAAAACAAAGAGGATGTTAGAAAAAAAGACCACTAAAGATAGTTTATAAGACTCAACATTAGGAACACAAACATGGCACCTTTTCCTACTAAACTTTTTCTTCCACTACCTTTCTAATAATATCCCTGAATGCAGGAGTCTAAACAATGACTTTATTTAACAATACGCTTTCTGGCTTCTCCACACTAATTTCTAGAAATCTGTAAAGTCATTTTTTCTCTGTAGGTCAAATTATTTCTATTACATATATATTACATATTTTAAATGATTATTCAGCACTTTGGTTTATGAGGAACTGAATGCTGTTGTAATTTACTGTATGTATAATATATCAATACTTTCTGAGACGAGGAAAAAAAAAATGCTTGTGGTTAAGATGGTCTTTAGGATTCAACAAACATTTGCTTCCTACAACTCATAAACTGGAAATTGATTTATTTTATTTGGTAATTTGTTCCATTAATAGAACCTCTATTAAAACAATTTTTTACATGTTTAAATCATAATCCCTGCAGATTATTTGGTGCCAGTGTTTTATTCTTTCTTTAAATAATCAAACTTGGAAGAGGTACATGCGACAGAACTGCGTTGGACCCAAAACTCATCTGACCAGAAGGGGGCACTATGATCAAACACTGAACATAGAATAGAACAGAAAATCCTTTTCATGTCCCACAATGGGGAAATTCTGGTGTTACAGCAGCAAAATGAATATAGAAAAAAAAAAAAAGGGAAAATATCCAAAATATCAAGAATTTAAACACCTTGAAAAACTAATGACACCAAAATTATATATAAAAAATCTTGGACATGGTTTAAATTCAGAAATGGTTTTTTTTCACATACCACCCAAATGTTGGACCTGGCTTGCAGCTCCGCATTGACCCGATAGCCACCGAAGTCAGAGTCCACCTCCAGACCGGCTGACTTAGCAAGGTCCACATTTGGCTCCAGGCCGACAGCAGCAACAATGTGATCCGTCTTCACCTGCAGGGCAAAGATGAACAGTTCAGTGAGGGGAAGGTCTGGTTCTTTAGACCAGGACATGTTTGGCTGAAATGGGAACCCACCAATCGTCCATCCTTGAGTTTGATTTCTAGTTTATCATCTTTGTAAGACACAGATTTGACCAGTGCTTCTGTGAGGACCTTCACACCCTCTAACAAAACATAGAAAAATGGTAATGAGAGGAAAAACAAAAACAAAGGTATTATATTAATATCACCAGGATAAATCAAGTTGTACCTTTCTTGACTTTTTCCGTTGTCCAGTTGCTCAGATATTCGGGGAGCACCTTGCCCATGTTGCCCTTCTCTGGGAACATCTGAATCACCTCTAACCCGGACTCTGTTGCTAAAAGCAGAGGGATGATGATGGACACATTAGCAGAAAGGTTTCTCCCTGTTACCTAGAACCATCAGTTTGATTTATCCTGAAACCTTCTCAGCTTGTCAAGCAGCCTTACATCTCCTGCCGAGCGCACAGGCCAGTTCGCTGCCCAGGAATCCACCTCCAATAATGGTGATGGACTGCTTGTTTCTCGACACATTGTCCAGCGCTTTAAAGTCTTCGATCTGTTATTAAAAATAAAATAAAAATTCAGGATCAAAACAATGAACTTATATAAATACTGACTATATTTTGAATTGTGATCCATCCAGCTTTGCAGAAATAAAACCCCTGCTAATCTAACGCCACCTAGTGGCCAAACTCTAACCTTGCGGAATAAAGTGGTCCTCTTCATCACCTCCTCTCCTGCTCTCTCGATTACCTGCAGATTCCTCGGGACCCCACCTGAAGAGAAAAGTCCTAATTAGATCCCATCATGCAGAAGTCAATTAAAACTACATCCTGAATGCTTACCAGTAGCAATTAAACACTTGTCATAAGAAATCTCTGTATCGTCGTCCAGTTTTACTTTGTTTCCTCTCACATCCATATGAACCACCTGAAATGCATAAAAATGTTGCATTATTAATGTCTGTGTCAGTGAGCTTGGATGCATCTAAATGAAAACATGTAAAGTTAGTCCAGCGTTTCATCCTATTACCATTAGCTCTATAAACCAACCTTTCTGCTAGCGAGGACCGCCACTCCCCCATTTTCAGCACTATTCAAATCCTCTGGATCGATGTAAAATGATGGCGGCTGAAAGTAGATGCTGTCAAATAAACACAGCAGGGTTAAAAGGAGCAGTAGCCAGAAGATATCAACCCTTTTTGGTCCAGTTTTAACCACAGATCATCAAAATAAAAGCTAATTTTGGAAAAAGTCATCACATGTCCAGGAATGAACGCACAACTGGCCTCCAAACTAACTTTATCCATCAGCAGCATGGCTACGGCCTGTCGGGGTCTGATTCCTTCTACTTAGTCAAACCCTCTAAAAAGCAGCTGAGAAAAAAAAAGGAAACCAGTCAATCAGTCTGCAGACCATACAGTTTTTGAAAAACTGCAGATGGAGGACTTTACTTCATTTTCTATTTTTCCATATTGTGGAGACAGAAAATAATCATGTTTGTGGAAAAAAAATATTCCTCTTTTATTTTCTTATTCCTCCCATCCTGTCGCCCTTTGCACAGCAAAAAAATTTAATAAAAGTACTAAAACAGTAGAATTTGTAAAAGTAATAACATTTCTGGCTGCATTTAAATACAGGAAGTACTTCTGCTGGTCTGGACTGGGCTGCCCAGGGCAGACTCCATCAAATAAATCTGGTAATAATGTTTTTGTCATGGCCGACTATTAATTACCTCTGGTCTCCATTTTAGACGCTAAATCAAACACTGAACAAGTCACAGGTCTGCATGTGAACCATCCAAATCTAAATACCTTCTGCCTAACTTTGTGTTTCTCTGTATTTATTCAGGTCTGCAAAGATAAAAGACCTTCAAATAAAACAGAATGATCACAACTGCAAGAAATGAGGAAAAAAAATGTAAAAAGAGGTATGGTTGGTGATATTTGCAATGTCATTGAACCATATTTTTATCACTTTCCTCCTGTTTATTAGTGCAAAAGAGCTTAAAAAATTTTTCTGGTTTGTTCATCAATGTCTGTCCTCCTGAGCAAACTTTTAAAATCATATCGGACACACCATTGATACACAAACACCAGCAGTGCAGACCTGGTTTGTTTGGGCATTTATTTAAATCAGTCCATGCATGTCTCCTGTTCTGTTTCCAATATCAGGAGTGGTTTAGCATCACACCTCTGGAGCCTAAAACATGCAAACATTAAATTGACTTTTTGTTCAGTAACTACAATCACTGCCCTGGAAGCACACAGAGTTTCACAATCTGTGGATGACCAGTTTCTAAGAACAGGGAGGTGAACTTTTTCTTTCTATGGACATTCAATTTTATTATTTTTGTGACATTTGCTGTTTGTTCCCATCAGTTTAATAGCCTCAGTAAGACACTATGAGGATTATTACTTGCAGCATAACACCAATGCATCTCCATCTATGCTAAACTGAACAAAAGCTAATCCCAGCATCTGTCCAGAACAATGACTGAACTTTCTAATAATGTCAGAAAGGTCATAAGTGAAATTCATCAACTAATTCAGAGCAAAGGAAACAACTCATAGTTAAGAGGGACATAGATATAAAATTGCTCAAAAACAAAGAGTTACTAAAAAGGTTGAAGTAAAAAAAACAAAACTACAAAGGTTGCATGAGAGGACTGGGAAACCACCTTCTCTCCTTCCCGTTCCACTGTTTGAACCTCAGAGTTTCTGTGACGCTTGGGTCGTCAGAGAACCACAGCTCCTTAGAGAGAGGAGGCCTCATATATGGAAGATCTGGCTCATCAGTCACGATCAGCACCTGCAGCAGCAGCAATGTTACCAGTGAGGAACACTAATTATTTTCTATACTTGTTTGATAAATACACAGAAGCCTGACTGACCTTGGCACCAGGGTCTCTGGCTCGGATAGAGCGAGCAGCAGCGAAAGAGGCCGTACCTCCACCAATCAGCAGGTAGGGGGCGTGTGAGGGCAGCTTTGGAGAGGCAGGTTTGGAGGCTATGTAAGAAAAAAGGAGCAGGTCAGAGGGATAAAAATAAGAAGCACAATCAGTCTATGATCCCATCATGGTAACGATCACGTCCAGTTGGAATAAAACTGGAGGGACAGAAGATCATTTACACAAGTCAAAAAACGCTCATCATTGCAGAATCAAATGGGGAACATCGAAATAGTAACTAGGAAAAAAACAGTGATTAGGAGTGACAAAGGACAACATCATTGTGGATTTGGTGCCATTTTACCACTAAAATCAAATCCACTAACAAACTTAAACTTAAATTCACTTTATTTATAAAGTGCCAATTCACAACACAAGTCATCTCAAGGCACTTTATAGTTCACCAGATCAAACAGTCAAATTGATTTAAAGTTTTCTATGTAAGGAAAACCAGTTGATTGCATTGACTCATTGACTCAAAGGCAATCCCTCACACCAAGCATGCTTGTAGCGACAGTGGAGAGGAAAAACTCCCTTTTAACAGGAAGAAACCTCCAGCACAACCAGGCTCAGTGTGATAACCATCTGCAGAGGCCGACTGGGGTTCAAGGAGACAGAAGCAGAGATACAAAAGGCAACTGTAAAAGCCCCCATCCAGGAAACACACAGGCAGGCAGACGAGCTGAAGAGAGCAGTCACCATCAGAGAAACAGGACTACACTGAAAAAAGGCCGATCTCCCACATCTATAAACAAAGGTGGTGATGATCTGATGATGATGATAGAGAGACAGAGACAGTCTGCATGCCTTAGTGCTCGTTTTATTCGCCTGTAGCCATGGAAGTGAATATCAAACCTCTGTTCTTTGGATGGGTTAGCCAATACTTTGGAATATATAATGAATTTTAAGCCCTCTTTGGGCCAATTTCAAACCTATGTTGACACGTATTGGGGGGGCACCTATCCTATGGTTTATCGTCTTACATCTCTACTCATGATGACAGTTTTGATTTACCTTCCAAACAATAAATATAAATCATAAACGATAAAGAAAAAATAAAACTGAACTGTTAATTTATTATTAATATTTCCATTTTTTGTCCTCATTTTTTTTTTTTTTTCATTTGGGTATTGGCCAATTCAAAATATGATTAAAACAGTTGATAAAGAATGTTCTTTATGTAGCTGGTGTCCTGAAGAAGCCTGTTTCAAATGTTTATATTTTTCTAGAATAGTGTTAGCCATACGATATCCGACCGAGCTGTGTGGCAGGCTGACCGAATACATTCTGGTGTTTAAAAGCAAATAAAGTATTCCTCTTTTAGAAACCCCATTTCTTTCAAGTTTCTGGACAGAAGAAATATTTGTCTTCGAAAACTCAACTTCTTCCCAGATGATGGATCCAGAACAAGAACTTTTTTTGTTCCTCACAGCGCTGGGAGAGAAACAAACCCCTGTTTTGGATCATTTTTATATCCCCTGTGGTTTGTCTCAAACTCCTGAGGTCATTCAGACCAAGTACTAGTTTAAAAACTTCAACCACCCTCTCATGTTTATTGTCAGGCATAAAGAAGATGTAGATCACACCACAGAAGGATGATTGTAAAAGGGTGCACTACAGTAACAGTAGGGGGTGCTGTTTTCTTCTCTGTCACCTGATCATAAACTGTAAATGCAAAACATGTAACATGCATAAATGAAGGTTTGCACTAATAATGGAGGGGATCCATGCTTTGATTCGGGAATATTTACACTAGCAGAACCACAACTGGAAAAGCAGCATAAATAAAAAAGTAGTCCAGCACAGATTCAGGCCTTCACAGAAAGTTCCTAAAAGGACACATGGCAGCAAACAGGCTGGCATATTTACAAAGAGAAAAAAAAAAAGTGACCTACAAAAAAACAGAAGTTAAGTTAGTTTCCAAAAGCTGCAGCGAAACTGTAAACAGTGTTACATAAAGATGCATGCGGCACAGCAGTGTCGTCGCGGTTCACTGGGGAACTTTCAAAGAATCTGGATAGAGACCACGGAATAAGAACAGAAAAACACTCGTGCAGTTTAACCTCAAAGGTAACAGTTTTAACAGGAGGCAGAGTAAACCATGCATGGGTTAAAAACTAACCTGGAGACTGTTCAGTGGTTTCGCTGGGAGCTGCTGCTTCGGCGACCTCAGCCGCTGGGACTTCAGGTTTCGGCTCTAGGTGGGCTGAGTAACAAACAGAAACACTGGATAACTTGTGTACTTCCTCTGCATTTGTTCTCTCTGGCTGTTAAAACAAATCCCCTCTTTAGGGAAAATAACATTTATCTTAAATGTAATATAAATGTTCCCTGATAATAATCAGATAAATCTAAAAATATCCTTTTTAGTTAAAGGGATTACCGTATTTTCACAATTTTTTCCCTCAAAATGTGCGGTGCGCCCTATGTGTGTTGTTACTGCGGATGTTGTTGAGACCACCATGAGAACGTTAAAGGGCGAAGTGTGGGTGTGGATTGTGTATAAAAGAACAGGTATGTGCTTTATTCAGAAGAGTATGTTAGGAGACCAGGTGTTTTTTCCACGCATCACCATCGCTGTTAATCTGTGACTCCATGCGTGCCCATCTCACAGCCGATGTGAAAAAAATGGTGAAACAAATGAACGCAGTGCTTGCTGTTATTGCGGGAGATCTGACAAAGGAACTTCAACCGCTCGAAATCGGTGTGAACCAGCCGTTCAAAGTAATGCTACGTTCACACCGGACGCAGCAGGAGTTTACATGCAAAGTCAATAGTTGACGCGCGTCAAGGCGCTGCAAAAGGTCCCGCAACGCGTTTTGAGCAGCAGGCGCAGCGCTTTGGGAGCGTTTAAGCATCTGACGCGCGTGATGCGCCGCAAACGCGCTGCTGCTTGAGATGGAAAAGAGCGCTGTGATCGCTCCTCTGAAACAGTTTATTAACACCTAACTTAACTTAAGATGCTGAAACCTGCCGACAGAATATGTTCGCTTTTATTATCCTGGTGCCTGCAGTTTGGATTATTTTGATGAAAAACACCTACCAGCCGCCTCGGTGAACCGCGAGGAGGCGACCCGGCCAGAGGCTGCTGTTGAATTAAGTTTTCAGGTGGATTTTCCCACTTAAAAACACATTAAAACTACTTTATTCCCACTGGTCACAGCAAATATAGCTGCAAGGCAAAGAAAGGATAGAGTAGCTCCGCCCAACGCGCGTCAGACACACTTTTGCACCGCGCAGCCAGAGCAGCAAAGCTGCTTCAGCCGCGCGTCAGAACTAAACTGGTACAATCTAAACTGCAGGCAGCAGGATAATAAAAGCCAACATATTCTGCCGGCAGATTTCTGCATTTTAAGTTAATTTATGCGTCAATAAACTGTTTCAGAGGAGTGATCACAGCGCTCTGTGTCATCAGCGATGTGTCTGTCTCACGGCCAGCTCCCAGGTTTGATTAATACTTTGTAATAAATACATGAATAAAGCACAAACATACTCAGTTTTGCTCCCGCTCTATTTTTAAATGCGCAGTAGAGGTATTTAAACGTAGTAGAGGACATGTACCTGTATATAAAACCCGCGCCCTATAATCCGGTGCGCCTTATGTGTGTGTTAAATACAGTAATGGCACACATAACTGAGACTGCGCCTTTTAGTACGGTGCGTCTTATGGTCGTGAAAATACGGTAATCATAATATGCATATGTGGCAGTAAAGAGGAAGCTGAACTGAGAGCTGCAGAGTCAGTTTCTCTAAAAAGAAAAAAAAAGACAAAAAAGCTTAAATGCTTTACATTGTCTACAATTCTTACTATGTGGAGGAAATCCTGATCTCATCTTAGACATAAAGGAAGCACTCACCCTCTGTCTGTGCAGCTTCAGCAGCTAAAGGACAAAGAGAAGCCCATCATTTTCCATACACATATATTTAAATGTCCCTATATAACAGAGATAAAGTTATTCCTGGATAAGGAGCTGACCAGGGGGTTCTGTTTGGAGCGGTGTGGCTGCTTGTTTCGCGGCTGATTTCTGCCTCCTGGAGGAGATCTCTGCCAAACGTTCCTGATGTCTTTGCTGGTCCCCCTTTAGGGTAACGACAGCCTGCAAAACATTAACAAAATAACTTTTCAACTTAGGAGCAGACTATGGGTTTTTATGCTTTCCAGACATTTAGGAATCCTTGTTTGTTGTTTTGCCACAACAGATTTAGCGTACTCACGTATGTTAGGCCACCAACAAAGGCTGCTCCGACTAGGAGGGCGTATTTCAGGTTGTCTCCACCTCCACCCGCTGGCCCCGTGGACATGTGAGCCACAGGCACACACAGTGGAGTTCTGGCATTGTTTAAGCCTGGAAAAAAGAATCATTTATAGAATTGCTCTGATATAAAGGACAAGACCATCAGTTAAAGAGCCTTCCTGATGATCCTTGTTTTTGGACTATTCTCTAGGAGAAACAAATACATAGTTTTTCCTCAACTGTTAAATGTTAAATGCATAAAACATGGGTAACCAATTAAAATTCAGTGGGGTCTGAATAACCAGTAAAGGTCTGGAGACATTTTTAATTATAATCTGTTAGTTTAAACAGAATTTAACACGGAAATAAAATGAGGTGTTTATGCATCCATGTTATACATTGAATAAAAAAAAAAAAATTATATATATATATATTTTAATTTTTTTTTTTTTTTTTAACATTTTCTATTTTAAAATCTAAAATGTTTGTTTAAGTAGAGTACAACAAAATTGGTAAATAGACAATTTCCTGATTCACATTTTTTACAAAAGCACCTGAACTGACCGTTTGTTTCTTCCTGTTTTATGGCTTAATGAGAGCAGTGGGCTTTATGCTGCCCTGCAAGGCTTTAAACCTGGGTTTGAATGGAGACAAAGCCATTATAAAGCACATATCAAGGTGCTCGTTTTGAGCCTGGATCCATATTTATTTATTTTTGATGCTGTTCATGGTGGTGAATCCTGCTTCACAGCAGCAGGTTGAGCCAAACATACTCAAAATGTGCAGGGTCATTTTGGAGCACACCATTTCACTCTTCTTTCACCAGTTCACCGCGGTTCTTCCAGCAGTCCACACTTTCTCTGCTTTCTTTTTCTCTTCCGTTTTCTTCTTTCCCATCACCTGGCTTGCCAAAGGTTTGCCTGCTGTGTCTAAAAGTAGCTGACAGCAGCAACACAGACTGACATCTCATTGGCTAATTTGTATCACATGGAGCCTGGAGCCTCCGGAGGGCTTTACCATATTAACAGGAGAAGCAGCGCAAGTGAAGTAAGACACTGTCATCAGACAACATGTGGTAATCTATAAATGTTTTAAATCAGGTTGAGTCCGGATGAGCAAGCAGGTGGGTCCAAATCCATTAATCCGTGACCTCTGGCATACAGCGAGAAAAGTCCATCTATTAATTTTCTTTTCCAGCATAATAATCTGGTGCAGGACCCTGCAGGGACTCTAATGCCAGTCAAACTAATAGCAGAGTTTCTTAAGTTCAGTCTAATATGGTTTTCTTCTCTCTTTCAAAGCTTAAACTCATAATTTAAGCTCTGGTAAATTCTCCTTCATAGAGTAATTTATAGCAGCCATTTGAATGAATATTCATGTTTTTATGACTACATGACCCAGAGAACCAGCAGAGAATAAACTCCAGGTCAACGCTGACCAGCTTCTTTGTCCTCTCCACAGCATGATTCTGCCGGCACCGTGTTCTAACATTAGGATGAAATGAACAGAATCACCCATGGTTTATAGCTTTAGCATGGCAGCCTAAAGGATTGAACATCGGCCTTTTGGACACGGTTGGGAATTTTTAGCACCCATAAACACCGGCGATAAAGATGGAACAACTGTTGACACAATGCCCACCTGAGCTAGAGATCTCTGCAGCTCCTCCAGAGTTACCAGACTGACTGCTTTCCTACTTAAAGCTTTATCTGCCCGACTGCGCTTCCATCCAGCTAAGTCCCAGATACTAAGAATGAGCTAAAATTCAAGCAGCGTGAGGAAAGCTTGTACACCCACAGTTTCTTCCCATCACTTTGAACATCATGCTTCAAGATATATATTATTTATGCTTCCCTTTTTCTGTTAAGACTTATGAGCATTTCTTCAACTGTTAAACTGACCTAATTCCCTTAAGAGTTTACATTAGAGCTGCATTTCCCAGCCCTCCTAAGTTGTTTGGCTAGGGAAACATTGACAGGTGCCTGGAAATCAATCATTTAAAACACTCTTGGAAAAATCTAATCTCTGTTGGACAATGTCAGGATGAAGAAGTTGCAGTGCTGCACCTTAGGTGAAGAAACAAGCGTTATAAAAGATCCATCCTCCCAGCAGAGGTTGGGCTTAATAACATCCCTGCTTCCAGCAAGCTCAATGAGTTGGTTACACCCCAGGTGTGAACATTATAGCTTTTATTTTTGCTTTTTTTTCAGCCACAGTTGTTAAATTTGTGGTTTTTAATCCATCACAGCTGGTAGAATGTTTTGGAGAATTGCATCGTATTTTTTTTCTCCTGAAATCTAAGGATTTCTCCTAATCTAAGGATTTGAATTTCAGCATTAAGAAGAGCTTTCCTCTCCATTCCTTCTAGCCTTAGTGATGTTAGATTGTTTTGCTCCGTTAGGGATAACTGATTTTACTGAATGTTTCGAGCTTCAGTCGGGAGGTAGCTTTTCTCCCTTCATTCCTGTTCCAAAAATAATCCTGTTTTTTTTTTTTTTAAGTGAACTTTCTTTAATTAAAGCTGGTAACATTTTAAACTAACTCTAAAGAGGAACTGTTTTAATGCTTAAAGCAGGTTTAAGTTGTCTTTACAAGATTCAGCCTCCATATGACTTCCATCCTAATTTCAGAATTGATGAATGATTATTTTAATAAAAAATAAAAAAAAGAGGGCAAACTACAACCAATTTTGTTTCAACAGAATGTTCTCTCACAGTTTAAAATTGTGAAAATAAATTCTATAGTTACAAATCTCTCCTTTTAATTCAGCTATATTATTTTTAGCTTTTTCCAAGGTCAGTTCAATCTGAAAAACTCACACGGAGAGAAAAGACAATTAGAAGAAATTTATTTTTATAAATACTTTGGCGCTCAGACCTTGGCAGGAAACATAGCACCGAATTTTGATAGATATGCATGAACAGGAGCAAAGCATAGGGCTTGTTTCCCTCCCAGGCCTGAAACTGGTGGTGGAGTGGAGATAGATGAAGTTGGTCAGTCTGTAGACTGCTGGTTAGAGAGACGGTCTGTTGAGCTTTATGGAGAGATCCAGTGGACTGCGTGAGCTGATACTAGAGCTTCACTCAGGGACCCGGAAGATGGAAGTCCAGTTGGATAACACAGGTTGAGAGAACCTGTCCATGATGAGCAAGCATGAAGCGACAGTGGAGAGGAAAAACTCTCCATTGGGAAGAAACCTCTGGCAGAACCAGACACTCTGAGTAAGTTTTAGCTACGATGGTGGAGAATGGGATGGAGGTGGGTTGAAACGGGGTCATCTGAGTGAAGTCAAACAGCCCAACACCGCCTGCGCACCAGGTAACAGACGAGTTGCTGATCAGAGGCCTTTTAAGATGAACTTTGGATGCCGATTGGCTCTCATGGAGGCGTGGTTCAAAGCTGATTGGCTGTGTCATAGGCAGATGAAGGCGAGTAATCAATTTATTCAGTTGAACTTCTGCCTATAGGGCTCCATTTAACAACAAATCTCTAAATCTGACTACTTTACAAGCCAAACAGATCCCCTAACAAAAATTACTGAGACTTTTATTCTTGGTCTATTGGCATTATATCCATGTCCCTTTAATACTGTTTTAGATTAATTAATTTGCATGAAATCTATGCCTGTAAAAAAGCATGCTAATACATATGTCCCAATATAAAATGCACCATTAAACCCCGGGCTTGCACTGTGAGGCAGGGTTCCTACGGCATAAGGCAGGACTTTTTTCAAGACTTTAAGACTTTTTAATGCCACTTTAAATAAAAAATTATACCTGGCTGTGCAGTATCGGCCCATACCGATACTATCTGTTTGAAATTGATCTGTGTGTGTACATATGAAGAACAGCATAATACTTAGATGTAGAACAATTTCCAACATGGTTTTGTAAAGCTGCTGCCTACCTTTGTGAAGCAGGAAAAAGACTAATAAAAGTGAATCCAGTAGAACTATTTATTGCCTACCTGGAATGGGTGACCATAGTTGAATAAACTTTTGGCTCTTAAAATGGTATCGGTGCCCTATTTGTCGGTACTGGCCAATACCGATACCACCATGTTAGTGTTGGATCGGGGCCCCTCCAGATACTATTGGTGCAACACAATTTGTAACAATTAGTAAACTGAATTCACTAACTTTTTTGTTCCCTTCTCAATCGCTCTACTTTCATTATCGGCGTACGGCCAAACATTATCCAGGGATTTGGTTCTACTGGCGCTGTTGTTGATGTGAGAGATGCTGTGGAGGCGTTGCAGAGACAAAGGTGGAACAGAATGGAGAAATACCTGCTGCTTCTCCATAACTTCATTTTGACTCTTTGAGTTTCCCACGTGTCTCCACTGTCTTGGTTCCCATCGTGCTTCATCTACATTCCCTGGCAGGAGTTTCAGCCATGCAGAAAACTCTTGGACAAATAGCCTATTTTTCGTTGAATTTAAACTTCCCCACGTTGTCCAGATAAAAAGTTAGTGGCACATCACACATAGGTCCAGCTGCAACATCATTTTTATTAGGGCTGGGTAAAAAAAAAATCGATTTAATCGATTTTGAATCGAGTCCTTTATATTTTTGCAAAATCGATGTCTAGGGAATGAGATTGATTAGTTTTATAGTGACGCGCGTGACGTTCCCATTAAAATGAGCAGGAAAGATGCACTTAAGATGACTTCAAGCCAGATAGCTGCAAACATATCCAATAGGTTGACTGGAGACGTTAAAAAATGGGGGCTGACCAGCAAACACCCTGTAGTTGTTACAGACAACGCTGCAAATATGGTTTGTTCAGTGAAGATAATGCAGCTGATGCATGTGTCCCCTCTGTGTCACGTCTGCTTGCTCGAGTGAGGCTTCGCCTTTTCACAAACAAGTTTGCACTTTTGAGACAGTTTTGTTCACATCTCAAGTTTAAACTGTCCGATTTACAAGTTTGCATTTTGTGTTTAATATGAAAGGGGAAAAAAAATACATGAGTATTTTGAAAAACAGTTGAACCATTTTCATTAATGTAAAAACAGATTGAATTGAAATTAATGGATTTAGAACTGTATGAATCAAACTCAAATCGATTCAGGACTTTTGCGAAAATACCCAGCCCTAGATTTAATTGGTTCCGCTATCGGGACGGAACCAATAATAGTTACAGCGAGCTGTTTTCGTAAATGTAAGAAAAAATTATTGTAACGCAAATAAAATCCTATTTATGATATGGCAACAATTTTAAGACCTAAGAAAGACTAATTTCAGACTTTTTAATACTAGGGTTGTCAAAAGTATCGATACTCATAAAAGTATCGATACTGAAACGTTGTATCCGGATACAATACTCATTTTCAAAAGTATCGTTACAGTGCTACCACCAGTGGCACCTAAAGTCATTCATCTAAAGTGCAGAATAGAGGACGATGCACTTTCTAAACACTGTGTGATTGAATACTTCTTTGCACTTTTCAGGTTCAGACTTTTTCTTTTGTAAGAGGTGCAGCTGCTGAAAATTATTATTGTTTCTTAACCGGTTCGGCTAGTGTCATTGTTATGTGAACAAAGCATAGCCAAGGAAGGAACACTTAATTTTAGTTTTGTAAGTTTTCATCAAGCTTGCTTAATATTGTGCACAGCGTACAACCTCAAAATATTGTTCTTAATGTATTTATTTATTGTATTTTATTTATTAATGAAAATATTTCTGTTGAATTTTGGAGTCTTTGTTTTTATCGTTGTGGTATCGAAAATGGTATCGATTATCGAATATTTTCCTCAGTGTCGGTATCGAGTTGAAAAGTGTAGTATCGTGCCAACCCTTTTTAATACCAATTAAGGCCTTGATTTTATATTGAAGAATTCAATGCCTTTTAAGAATTTTTAAGGATCTGCAGGAACCCTGGGGAGGAATAAATGGACACCTCTTGCAAATGAGGGCAGCAGAAACCCATGTTCATAAAGAATTAGGCTGGCTATAAATAGTAATAATAGTAATATTTTTTTTTTTTTTTTTTTTTTTTTTGGTGTTAGAATAGTCTTGCATACTATATGATGTAATTTCAGTGCCTGATCCAATCCTTCCAGGATCTCCCAAAGGGGGTGGAAATGTAATCACTGAGATAAGAGTGGATCCATGTGGTAGCAATCAGAAGGAAGGTCACAGAACATCTGTCTACTAAATAATGCTTTCTATGGGCCACATGTAACATCAAAAAAACAATAAACACTGAGTTTTAACTGTGTTAATCATTAAGAAACATGTGTGTCAACATGTCCTAATTAGCTAGTTAGCTTTCCATTAAAAACAAAGGTTATTTTAAAAACAACTATCACAAAAAAGCACCCAGAGCGGCAGAACGGCATCCTAATGTTTAGATTTATTAAATCAAAGCATCGTGTTAATAAGCTAACCGGAAGACTCCAAGGTAACCAATGAGTTAACCTACCTGTTCTCCTCACGTTCTGCCGGCAGACAGCTGACGAGGCTCTAGCTAGAGGGGTTAGCTTCTTCCATACAGTCCTACATGTCAGCATGGTGGCTCAGCTCTTCTCCAACTGCTCCCGGATACACTGCCGACAGGTCGGACACAAAGCTAGCTACAATTAAACAGGTCCGTTGGAGAACTAGCAGCCGCACACACTGCACGCCAAGGCCACAGACAGGTCATACGTTTCAATGGAGTGCTGGGTAATAGCAGACACTGTTTGGAGAAGGAGATTAGCCGCCTGTAACGGTTGCTAACCAGGATTACACCTTGGGGGGAAAAAGATGGCGGCGGAAATAAAACATCTCTAACGAGAAGGATGGCAAAGATTTAAGAACGCGTTATATATGTGTCTAATATATTAGCTTATATATATACAGTAAAATGTATACTCAAACACTTTAAATGTTTAAATGGAAGGGAAAACTTCAGGTTTGTGTCTGACACTTCACCTGGTATTCACTGTAGGTTCCTTCTTTCCAAGCTCTCTGGTCAGCAGCGCAAAGTTTACTTCTTCTTCTTGACTTGTGAGCAACTGGAGATTGTTTGAAGACGCTGCTGCCCCCTGCTGTTCATATTATAGGATCACTTTTTAAACCGTTTGTCCAGACTAACAAGGAATGGAGCTATGTTGGAATCTCATACAGGGCTGTCAACTCTCACCCATTGGGAGTTGTCACACTAAAAATGACAGAAATTAAAACTCAACTCCGTCTAGTTTAATAATCTCCAGTTGGAATTTAGGAATCAATTTTTTGGTCCATTGAATATGTTTAAAAACTTAATTTCCATCATATCTGCCAAAACTGAAACATCCAAAGAAGTGCTGCCTCCTGACATGGTGAGATTTTATAAAATCTACAGCCTCCTAGAAGGTCTGAGCCGTTTTGTCAATAGTGAGAAAAACTAATAACATAATGAATTAAGATTTTTAATCTTTAGCCTATTACCAAATATTCACACACAGTGAAGTTTGCATAGGTTTCAATTGCCCTGGTTCCTGTATCAGTGCCAGTAATCCAGTAATAGCTTATTAGTTCCCCATTGTTTATTTTACTTGAACTGCAGAGAATAATTAATGACCGAAGTTGTGAAATTTTTAGCTTAAAGTATTTTTAAGATGCAAGTATTTCAGTAGGGGCCATTGCTTTACTTCAATTCTCTAAAAATCACCAGAATGTAGAAAATAATGTATATTGTGAGGAAAAATGTTCCACATAACTACAGACCACTTATTGTTACTCAAAATTCTTCATTCACAAACAGAGATTACTAAAATCACCACCGATTTTTAGTATTTATTTTATCTGAATTCCATTTAAATCTGAAATCTCTAACATATTAAAAATTATGAAGACCTGTATAAAATGTTGATAGAACTTCCTACTAATGGACATTAATACTGAACCCCTTTTTTACGCATTTTGTCGTTTTATGTTGAAATAATGTTGACTTAATATTCTCAATACCTAGATGTACCTTTTAATGCATTTTGTTCTTTTGAATTACTGTTAAGTGCCAGATTTGTTTGAACATATATTGATATAATAATAATAATAATAATAAAAAAAAAAAAATATTGCTCTCATAGTCCAAGACAGAGTCTCCATATCTAGTCTTTTTATCTATTTGCCTTGGACATAGTAATTACATTGCACAGATGCATTAATTTCTTCAAAAAAGGATGAATTTTATACATTTGTTAGTAAACTAAATCAGTTAAAAAACAAATTTATTAAAAAACACACTACCAATGAGGTTACAAAGGATGGTAAAAAATAATAATAAAAAAGATCATACAAAAACACCATTATGAGACCTTAAATAGTACAATTTACTCCCATTTAGAACACTAATAGAACCCATGCAACTATAAAAGATGCATTAACCTCAGTGACTTTCCATTCTCCTGGACATGTTCATCCTGTGCTCTCTTATTAAAGATAAGTTTAACTGATAAAGGAAGGACTGAATGCTTCAAGAGAAGAAGTTCAGTAAAAAAAAAATGGATCTGTTCAAACAGAGTGTGTCTGTCTCAGGATGTGCTGTTCAAATATAGAGCAGCTGTTGTAGTAATAACCTTTTTGGTGTCTTAATCAAATAAAAAAATCTGAGCCTTTGATTTTATAGTTAAGTAACCAAATCTGCATGCAATGCCATTCCTTAAAAGCAGATTCAATTATCCTTTTTTTTTTTAAATAAAGAGCTTAATTTCATGAAATGCATTTCAAATGTAAATAAATAAAAAATGAACTCCACTTTTCTTAACGAGTGAAGCTCAAGGTTGCTCTGATGCACCTGACCCTCTCCACCGAGGACTTCATCATCTAGGTTTAGGGCTGCCTCTTTCCTGACCGTGGATCCGGTACATATTAACCTATAACATACTCAGATTACTTGACATTGAACAGCTTACCAAGCTGACTATATGTGTTATTATTTTACAGTGTAATTCATAATTAATTTGCGGTTTTACATAGTAGTGCATAATATTTTTTCTCTCAACCTTCTCCATTAAAGCCAGCATAGATGACCTAATATGTAGGTGAACTAGTCAGCCGTTAGGGCCTATTTAAGGAGCCCCAGTGACAGTTTAAAATATTTCATTATGCAAAACAAAACCGTGTAAAACCTAATTTAATAATAAAATGTTTCTATATTGTTTAAACAAATAAGCCCTAAATTTCAGTTGATGATTTCACTGTCTGCCATGATGTATGTGAGAAATCATTAAATGTAAATAATTAGGGACGCATCTATCCATCGTTCTACAAACTATATGTGTATTTTGTAGATATGTGCAATGTATTTTATTATATAAAGATTTCTTTATTGAAGTTTAGAATTTTTGGCCTTCTTTACTTTTTTTTTACTATTTGTTAAATAGATAACCTCATAGATTATAATTTGGGTCTCTTTATGAGATAATTTAAGTAAGATTCTCTTTTGTTCTGCTGCATTAATTTGTACCTTTTTTTTATACCTTTATTGACATTATTCTAGTATAGATATTTTTGACAGTCGAAATACGTTTACCAGTGCACAGAATCTTTCTCCATCCTCTTGCTTTGTACCAATGTCTCCTTTTGGGGCCACGATAACTGGAGAAATGTTTGCGTGTCAGTTTGCACCTGACTATCAAAACTCATTAAAAAAAAAGACAAAAAACTGCAGTCACAATTCCAGACTTTCAGATTTGTAAACTCACTTTGCATGTTGGCATTATATAAATATGCATATTCTGGATCCATTATTTTGTGTGGTGTTGTCATTAGAATATGATTTGCATAATGCTGAAGGCCCACACCCCAAAAAAGAAAGGCTTGCATGTGCCGCTTAATTCTTCTGCTATATTTTATCTGCTATAGTTTAACCTCTTCAGACCTGCATTTTGCATTTGGGCCAAAAAGTTTTTTCAACCGATTCTGTCTCCTCTTTAACATAAAAAAGTGATTTATATATATAT